CAAATATACGTTAGTGTCGATAAGCTTAATTACAAATTATTAAGCATTTCTGGGAAACTGAAACTTAGAAGGGAATCGCGTCATATTCTGCTATAGTGGGTTATCTAAATTTAGATAAATCCTCATACCATGTGTTTAATTTTTAATAAAAATTTCCACTTCGTATTACACAGTCATTTTCAAAGCTCTATGGATACATATCAATAAAATTTGTTTCTACCTGTTTATGATTTCATCGTAAACTTGTGAAGAATTTCCTAAAAATATTCGAATATCCACAATTTTTACTGTCAAAGTATTTAATAATTATGCATTAACTGAAATGCATTTATAGTACAGAGGAAATGTAGAAAGATATTGCAGGTCATGTATTATGTATCGTTGGAATATGACAATAATAATAGTACAATTTAACTGGAAAAAAAAATGTTACAACGTTTTAAAAGGGAAGTGGACATCTTTACAGTGAAATCTTGGATGAAAGTTTTACTATGACTCAACTTGGGAAGACACTGGAAATTTATAATGGAGGCGGGGTCCCTTTCTTCGCTACACAGCTGTGTTGAAATGTGAAATGCTACCCCTCAAGTATACTTGTAATTGACTAATGACTCAGAACAGTAAACTGAACTTAAACTTGCTCTTATTCTAATGCCATTTCTCTAGTCTGTGACGAGAACGAACAGAAGTTTTTCTTTAAAATTAAACGTGATCTCAAATATAATTCTTCATTATAAAGGTAAGTTATTGATTTGTAATATTACACAAACTAAATTCTTATAAAAATTTAAAAATCAATTCAGCAGCTAAACTTTTAATCGATTTATTTGAAAATCCAAACTTATCACCATTAACAATTCAAATGTCTACTAATATTAATAACGTATTGTTATATTAACATGAAATATTTTGATGATAAATATGGAATATAAATATAATATATGTTTCCATACATTAGGAAACATAATAACAGGCCAAAAATTAAAAACAAAATTGTTTAAACATGTCCTGCGCTATAGCTGTAGAATCGATTAATCAATCAATCGACTCGACAATCGAAAATCAATCGACTTGAATGGAGCTCATCAACATCTAAAAAGCGTTTCTATTAATATGCAAGATATGAGAAACAAGTTTGAAGACATTATGAAATAAGCTGAGTTTATTGAAAATAAATGGGGCATAGAAACTAAATTTGAAAAATAAAATAAAAATAAAGACAAAAATTTGATGAGTTATGTGAGGATAACAGGCTTGAAAATTCCGAAATGTCTTTTAAAGTAACTGTTTTCTATGCTGCTCTCGACATTTTAAATTCTCAGTTAAAGCACAGAATGACTGGAATGACAATAATCGCAATGATGTTTTCATTTCTGGAACCTAAAACACTGTCATCGTTAACAAATACGGAAATTATTAATAATGTTTCAAACATATAAAGAAGAAAACATATAAAGAAGACTTTGCTAATGCACTGGAAGCACAACTTTTATTATTTATAAATACTTTCAGAACAGAAATCCAATGATCTTTGATCCAATGATGAGAAATCTTTATGATGAATTTTAGCTATCAATGTTATAATTACACTTATTGGGGGGGGATTAGAGAAGAAGAGCAGTACGGGCTGAGGGAAAATTAAAAGGAAACAGGAAAAAAATTTAGCAATCATATTTTTTTATAAAAATCATGTAAATTGTATATTCAAACAGTTTTCTTTTTGAAGTTTATGATAAATATGTTTTATATTTAACAAATGTATCATTTACAATATAAAAGTTCTTATTTGTTACTTATATATTATTGCATAAATCATGTTCGTAAGCTGAGTAAATCACAGAGTTCTATATATTAATGTAATATCTTTTCTGTACGTTTATCAATTATATTGTCTGTCAGTTTATAATATAACCAATTATTTATAAGTTTGCTAAATGAAGCGAAAAAACTTAGATGGGTGCAGATTTTATACAAAAATTTAAAACATATAACGAACTTCTTGGATTTTATATAAAAATTTCCGCAAATCTAGGCTTTTTTCCTTTTCTTAATGCTATACTTTACGTCGATATAGACTTATTCATTTATTATCAGTATGTATTTTAGTGACAGGAGAGAAAAATCTGTCTCTCGCACTCACACGCACGCACACAAAAAGTCTTAAATAACTGAATTAAAATCATCTGACGTTAAATACCCAGACTGAAGCAAATATGCATTTCACCAGTTGGCCAGGGGAAAATATCTTCCTTTTTATTCTTTCTTCATATTACGTACCTTTCAACTGGTTCCCTAAGAACGTGCTTTTATTTTTTAACAATTAATCCAGATGTGATAAAAATCATGAAAACATAGGCTCCTGGAATAATCGATTTTTTTTTTTTTTAACTTTTCACTTAATTTTTTTTTTTAAATTTTTTTATGCACATTAAATTTATTGGGATAGGGACCCAGGAAATTTTTTTGCATAGGGGCCCAAAAATTCTAGTTACGCCACTGCGTGGTGTTGCTGTTAGTGTGTTTATGAAAGAGACCGAAGAATGCATAGGAATCTTTTCCAAGTCCCGGAATTGTTATTGTTGACTTTCAGTTTTAAAATACAAGTGCTTCAATTCTGTTCGAACGAAGACAGCCACGCTAGGCTTCTTTAGCTAGGCTTATTTAGCTAGGCTTGTAGAGACATTAGGTTAATTGGAAGCAGCAAAGATGAAAAATATGCAACCGCCTTCGCCGGGAATCAAACCACGGATCTCTGGAATACCGGCACAGCGTGCTACCGTTACACCACGAAAGCACGCTAGGGAAGTGGGAGAAATACCTTATATACTCCCCTTTTTAAAGGACGACTAGGGTTTTAGGGGACCTAGTCGCCAAATCCTGGGTGCAGAGAATCATCATCCACAACCCTTTTAGTTCGGGCGCCACTTGTAGAGACATTAGGTTAATAGGATGCAAAAAAGATGAAAAATATGCAACCGCTTTCGCCGGGAATCGAACCACGGACCTCTGGAATACCGGCCCAGCGTGCTACCGTTACACTACGAAGGCACGCTAGGGAAGTGGGAGAAATACCTTATAGGCTTACTCTCATTTACTTTTATTTCTGTCCTAACTACCATCCTTCAAGGGGTAGCGCGGCTTAAATATTATTTTCCAATTAATCTCAATCTCGCTGCTAAAAGTGTCAGCCATGTTTGTTTAGTAAGCGTGACAATAACGATAGCATTATACCCCTTCACTAACTTTTCTTCATTATTATACACTTAGGCATATTTAATTGACTTCTTCTGTATAATTTTACCTTTATATTATGTTATACTCAGCAACTCTTTATTAGTATTTGTGCTTGTTTGCAAGTTATCTTTGTAATGGTATAATTAATTGGAATTCTGTTAAAGTAGTTGTATTATTGTTTAACAAATAATTATCATAATGTGAATTTAGTACTTAGCTAAAATTCAGTTTCTGCATCAGTTGAAAGCCTATCTTCAGCCAAACTATCTTATACGCATTATAACGTTTTATTATTATATGCTAGTTGATTATTAAAATTTAAGAACTGTGTATTTATTTTTATGTAGCATATGCAATATATTCTAGTGCTGAAATAGCCTACAAAGATTTCTTTCTGAGTTTCAAATGAGTTAATAACAATGGAAAATCAAAGGGATTATTTATACCAGAGGCTTATAAATCCTTTTAAACACTAATTGACCTAAGCTCCTCAATTTTCTAGTATTTCAAGACTAGAGCCCCCAAATTTCCGCAGTAGCTAGCTTGTAAGGATTATGTTAATTTTATTAATAGTTAAATTTTGAGTTAAACTTTCTTTCCTATCGCTTCTAAACTTTAACTTACCACATCCGGCCAGAACATAGTTTTAGAAACACGTCTGAATACTAATGAGGAAGAGCGGTGAGGGAGAGAGATACCAGAGATTCTGCTTAGCACGCGTCCGTCTTTTTGGGCTACTCTCTCTTAAGCTATTGTTACGCTCGGCCGTACTTTAGGCCCTTCATAGCTTCGCAGTCAATTAGCGTTAAGGGGCCAACTCCGTTATAATCTTGATAGCTTCGGCTATATCTCTTTAGTTTAAGATTAGTTTAGTTTAATTCTTAGTGTCCGTTTTATTGTACCACTCCAAGACGGGGTTCTGTTAAATCTTATTTGAATAATAAAGGGTTAGTTACCCTTCCATTTTGTTGTATCTTGTCATTCGAAATTAAGCGATTATTCGCTAATTAGTTCTTAAAATTCGACACCTTCAACGTTAACTTAGCATTACACAGTGGGGAATCCTATAAACTTTATACAAAAATGCAACTCACATTTCTGTACCACCAGTGCAGGATTTACGTATAAGCTACACAAGCTTTAGGGCCCCCCAAAAAAATTTAAAATATAGTATAACAGACTTATAAAGGGCCCCAGTTTTCAAATAGCTTAGGGCCTCATCAAGTTTAAATCCAGCCCTGCCTTTCACTAATAGTTGCAGAAATTTTCCATTTTTAATTGTATGTAATTGCCTTTAATGTCTTTTTATGTCTCTCTTTCCGCAACTGTCACAAATTATTTTTTATTTAGACTATGTCAATGCCAAGGAAAAAACTTAGCGGTTCTCAGAATCGAAAAAGAAAACTAGAGCAAGAAAAAGAAGCTCAGAACTCCAGAATAAGAATGGAATTATATTTAATAAACAAATCGCAAAAAGAAAAACCAGAGGTTAAGATGGATGAAGAACTGAAATCAGATTCAAACTGTATTTCTATTGCTGCTAAACGTTTATGTGATAACACATCACAACAAATAAAATACACTAAAGATGATGAAATTGGGGTCCAAGTACATCAGGAGTCCCAAATGTATGTCCATACTTAATAAGTACAAAAAATGCAACAGAAACACTCACTGCGATTCCGGATGTTCTGGAGTTCAAAGATGTTGCTTATTTAAAATTCTCTAATAATCGTTCAATAATATCGAACCATCTTCGCACCGAAATGACTATTCTGGGATCCCACATATTTCAAAACGAATCCAGTCTAAATGCAATAGCAACATCAACTAATCGCCTAATGCCAAAAAGGCGAATTCGACGAATCGGTACTGAAGAAGAAGGAACTGAAATAAACCGATCTTGGTTATTATATTCACCAAAAATTAACGCAGCGTACTGCTTTTGTTGTTTACTGTTTGTTACATCAAACTCCGCTACACAGTCATCTTTCGCAACAGCATCTGGTTTTAATAAATGGAGGAAAAAAGATAAATTGATTAGCCATGAAAGAAGTCAAATTCATCGAAAATCGTTCACAACGTGGAAAGAAGCGGAAAGAAGATTAATTAATAAAACGGGAATTGATGAATCATTAGAAGCAAATATACAGTCTGAAAAAGAACGGTGGCGAAATATATTGCAACGGATATTAGCTTGTATGAAGTATCTGATTATACAAATTCTTCCTCTACGTGGTCATGTTGAAAATCTAGCGCTTCAAGACGGTACAAATGTCGGAAACTTATTATCTTTACTTAAACTTGTAGCTCAGTTTGATCCACTGCTAGCTACTCATCTAAAAAATGTCATAGAAACGCCAAGAACTGTCTCATACCTATCACCACAAATCCAAAATGAATTTATTCATCTTTTGGCATCCATAGTTCGAAATCAACTAATAAGTGACATCAAAAGAAATAAATATTACGGACTTTTATTTGATTCGACTCCTGATATCACTCATCGAGAACAAATGTCGCAAGTCTTTAGGTATGTAGATATTGATTTTACCAACAGAAAAGTTTCCATCAAAGAATCTTTTTTAGGATTTATTGAAATACATGCTAAAGATTGAAAAAATTGAAAATACAATTGAAAATACAATTTTAGAAAAATTAAATTCCGATCAGATTTCATTATCAAATTGTAGATCACAATGTTATGATAATGCTGCCGTGATGTCAGGTCGCATATCTGGCGTTCAACAAAGAATTATGGAAAAAAATAATAAAGCATTATTTGTAAATTGTGATAACCACTCATTAAATTTAGTAGGAGTCACTGCAGCTAAGCAAGATCCAATCGTTATAACATGCTTTGGAATAATTGAAAACATATATCTCTTTTTCTCACGTTCAACATTACGGTGGGAATTATTAAAAAATGCTTTAAAGAAAACTGTTAAACGTGAATCTGAAACACGATGGAGCGCCAAAGCAGAAGCGGTTAGCGTTATTGTTGGAGGACTGGAAGAATTAGTGGAACTATTAGAAAAATTAGCAGAGGATGGTACTACCACAAGTGACACCAGAAGTGAAGCTGAACTTTTATTGCAAAATATGCTGAATTTTAGTTTCATAACTTTAGTCCATTTCTGGCATAAAATCATGAGAAGAATTGATCGTGTGCAGCTTAGATTACAAGATCCTAAAATGAATTTTAGAGAAGCGTTTCATGATCTTGAGCCCTTAGCGACTGAACTTGCAGAAATTCGAGACGAGATCTGTAAAGATGCAATAGAAAAGGCTAAGTCTCTTTGCGAAAAGTGGGGTATTGATACAACAATACGTGTTAGAAGACGCCGAAGAATGCCCGGAGAATTGTCTAGAGACGTTGGCCTTTCCGCAGAATGTGAAATTTCTCGCGTTATGAAAAGCGTTCTTGATCGTCTGCAGCAGGAAATAAATAAGCGATTCACACGACTAAGTGATCTTAACTCCAAATTTGGATTTTTACTGGACGTTGAAAAGTTATTAAACAAGGGTAATGTTGATAACGATCTTGAAAAGAATTGTAAAAATGTGGGTGAATTTTACAATACAGATTTTAATGAAACAGAACTCTATGTCGAAATACGTGATTGCAAGATGTTACTCCACAGTAGAAAAGAAATTGAACTTAAAACTCCATTACAGCTTCTTTCCTTTATAATATCGTATGGAGAAGATGTTTTTCCAAACCTGAGAGTCGCTCTACAAATACTCCTTACTATTTCAGTATCAATAGCTAGCTGTGAACGTTCGTTTAGCAAATTAAAATTAATTTTGACACATCTACGATCAACGATGGGACAAGATCGCCTAAGTGACCTAGCATTTTTAAGTGTAGAAAGAGAAAAATTTGAAATGATCGACTTTGATGAAGTAATTGACAAATTTGCTTCATCCAAGGCAAGAAAAATATATGCCTAATAATTAATTGTATTCATTTATTATAATATAATGTTATATTATTATTAATATAGCGACCTTATATATATTAACTTTCAAATTGTTTGAAAATTGTAAGTTTTTTTTTAAATTAAATAAGTACGTAAAATAAATAACATCCTTAATTTATTCTAGATGACCGTATGTCCGATTTTTCTACTGACAGACAGATTTCCGAATCCAATTCCAGTCTTGGTTTTTTGACAAGATTCTTTTGTCTCAAATTTAAAGTCTAACCTGAGCCTGTGTCCCTATATATCTCGAGAAACAGTACGGTATTTTATAGACGAGTACTTGCAGCGACTGTTCGTAATATATTATAGAATATTTTAAGTTAGGTACTGTAATCTTTTATTTTTGTCTTATATTTTTATTACGAGTATGTTCTATATATTACAGTACTATATGTTTTTCGGGGGGAGGCGCCAAAAAGGTATCGTGCCCCGGGCGCCAGTTATGCTAGCTACGCCACTGCTATAACGTGTAGTTGTGCACCTCGCTTTTTGGTTGTAATCGGCCGCACTAAAAATATATAAATATTACTCAGTTACTCGGCTCGCTGATTTTTTCTTTTTTAATTATTCTTATATCTTGGTAAATTGTGTAGTTTTTGCTTCAAAATTGATTGAATTATGTTATTCTTATCTTGCGGTTAAGGTTTTCATGCCTTTAGTTAATCTGCATGCAACAGTTGAAGAATTATTAACAATTTAAAAATTGTTTAAGCGCGGCTAAGCCTATTATTTTTTATCATAGCAGCCATATTTGCTTACATTTGAAACTTAGCAGAATAATGAATTAAGTCAGTTTCTACACCTTCAGGATCTTTTTGCCGAGTGGGATCAAAAGTAAACTTTCAGTTTTGCGCATCGAAAAATCTGCCTTCTTGCCTGCTAGCCGAATTGCTTGTTTTTGCGTAGAAACTCTAATTTTAATTGTAAAAATTGCGTTTTTAATTGTTTTAACAGTATTTTATGTTTTAAGTTTTCTATCGTTTTCAATTTTTAATGAAGATATTTTGAGGTTTTATGTATTTTTGCCTTGTCGCGAAATGAGAGCTGAATTCATTGAATGAGAAAGCTAACTCTAATGAAATTCGAGGAAATACGTTTAAATGAAATGCAGCAAAAAATGCATATAATTTAATATTGCGTACAAGGAAGTCACGTGATGTTCGCATCAGATTTTTATTATTTTTATTTATTTATTTATTTATTTATTTTTGGCATTCTTTGAATTCCTATGAAGCGATGTTTGAAAATAGTTACTTATTTATTAATTTTTTTAAAAAACATTTCAAGAACAAAGAAAAAGAAACGGAGTGTGTTACAAGGTATTTCTCCCGCCTTCTCAGTATGCCTTCGGGGTGTAGTGGTCAGCACACTCAGCGCGTATTCGAGAGGTCCGTGGCTCGAGTCTCGAGGAGGGCATTGCTCATTTTCCATGATTTCTGCTTTCAAAATAACTGTCCCTACAGTGGCGCCCGAACCAAAAAAGGTGGTGGATGATGATTTTCCACCACCAGAATTCGGCAATTGAGTCCGCTAACCCCCAGTCGCCGTTTAAAAGGGAGAGTATATAAGATATTTCTCCCACCTTTTTAGCATGCCTTCATGGTGTAGTGGTCAGCGCACTCGGCGCATATTCGAGAGGTCCGTGGTTAGAGTCCCGGCGAGGGCATTGCTTATTTTCCATGATTTCTGCTTTCAGAATGGTCTAATGTCTCTACAATCTGATATAAGATCTAATTAAAAATCTATTTTGCTTTCGATCTTTTTGAGAAAAAATAATTTAAAAAAAAACAAAAAAAAAACTGTTGTTTGGTAACTGTATGTTTGATAAAAAAAAATAACAGGAATTTGTAGGATAAAAAACAAGAATTTTTCAAGAAAACCAGTTCGTTACCTGGTTGTTCTGTTGGTCATGCCTACTGTTTGGCGTTGACAAAACAATTGAGTGATTTTTGTACATTTATATTAAAATAAGAAAAATTTCTTTTTCATACTAAAGCAAGTTTACAGCTTTCCACATTTGGGCGATAAAGAATAAATCCCCAGTTAAATCAATATATGCGAACAGTGGCGCATAGGGCCGAAGGGAGTCCGGTGGGCCAGAGCGATTTCGGGCCGATCAAGAAACTCGAACGATCGAATCGACACAAATGACTCAGTGAGATAGGCCTGCGCGTGAGGGAGACTGATGCGCGAGCCGCATATCACACTCAAAGGCACGAGATACGGTAGCTGTAGGTTAGGGCTGAGGTGAACCTATAAGTCGACAGTCAAAGTAGATTTATGAAAATACAACACAGTCACATTCTAATTTCATTATGAAACTGAAAATACTGCATTATAACTGTAATTAAAAAAGACTCTCTAGCGAATTTTACTATGTCACTGAATAATGTAAGTTAATGACAAGAAATATTGCAGTTGGATTATTTTTACATTACTTTTTAGGTAAGTAGAATGGTTAAACGAAAACTCAAACGAAGTGCACAGAAACCAAATTCATATTTAATGTTACTTCCATGCTCTAAATTTAGTACTGGTCGATTCTAGGAATAGCATTTTAGAATCAATTTCTCGTTTTTCCCTAATAAATGAGTGTGGCAAATTTTTTAAAGAATCATATCAAAGACTGGATGTGTGGAGTGGAATCGATGGTAAAATCAAATCTAGGAAGCTTTATCTCATCGGTGAAACTAGATGGAGTTCCAAATACACCCTAAAACAAATTTTTGGCAAATTCAATTGCAAATATAATTGTTTATACATTAATACTTGCACTCAAAAGTATTGCTTCCAGTGACATATAAACTGTACAGATACAGCAAGGCGAAATCTATTCTTGGACAAAATACCAACTTTTAGAATAATTTTGTCTGCTCACGTAACATTTGAAAATATTTCAGTATACCGAGCCAGTAACAAAATATTTGCAGACTAAAGAACCAGATTACATCCTAGCATATAATGTGGTTATAGGGAGCCTACAAACTCTTAAGCCACTTCTAGATACTTTGATTTAATATTTAACGCAACAAAATCGTTTGCAACGAATTGCAGTAATAACTAAAAAGGCTGGGTTGCGATAGAATTATAGAACTACCTGCTATAAGATGCCGAAAAGTGAAGCAAATGGTCGACGAAAAATCGTCCGACTATAATTTCAATTGCCCTATCAAAGAATTCGAAGTTACTGTCTTTAATTTTATAATCGATAACATCATTTCATCGATGGAAAGTAGGTTTAAAGAGCATAGGAAGTTGTATGAAGAAAAAATGTATCTCTTCTCAATCCCAAAAGCTTTTCGAAGCCATTTTCGCCGAACTCTTTCGACTATTTATCTATATTATTAAGGCACTGTGCAGGTGTAACAAATAATAATCTTAAGGATGATTAACAGGACCTGGTAAGAGTGCTCTATCTATTAATGAACATTCATCCAAAATATAATACATAAAGTACTCTTGAAATATAATTTATATAGTAACACGTACACCATTGTCTTTATTGCTTATAAGTTTGTAGTCATCCTATCTATAACGCAAGTTGAATGCGCAAGAGCTTTTTCAGAATTAAAAATTGTAAAAAGTAGATTAAGGAAGCAAGCTGTAAAAAGTAGATTGAGGAGTACTATGAT